CCAAAAGCTGGAAGTGGAGCTGTGGCTCAAGTGGTAGAATGCTATCTTTGAGCAAAAAAGCGCAGGGGCAGAGCCCAGCTCTCGAACCCTAGGACCAGCACACACACAAAAAAAAGTTTTCCACTAGGCAAACACATAGATATCACAAGGCTTCTCTTCTCAGTAAGACAAAAATAAATCTTCCACTTATATGTTAGCAAGAAATATCCATTCAAAGTCATAAAAAAGCTGGGCACCGGTGGCTCATGCCTGTAATCCTAGCTACTCAGGAGGCTGAGATCTGAGGGTCACAGTTCAAAGCCAACTCAGGCAGAAAAGTCCGTGAAACTCTGATCTCTAATAAACTACTAGAAAACAGGAAGTGGTGCTGTGGCTCAAGAGATAGAACGCTTGCCGTGAGCTGAAGAGCTGAGGGACAGCACCCAGACCCAGAGTTCAAGCCCTAAGACCAACAAAAAAAAAAGGAAAGGAAAAGGAAAGGATGATAAAAATCAATGATATATGCTTTATGCTTTTCTAATTTTGTTTCAAATATTAAAGACATCTGAACTAATTAAATATTAATAAGAAATTATATATACACATTCAGTTGTTTTGCAATATGTATTTTCTGATTTAAAAGGCAATGAAAAATTATATATATATACGTATATATATAAAACACACATATGGTGTATATGCGTATGTATGTGTATATACACACACAGTCCCAAGTCAAGCAATTTATTACAGAAAAATCAACTGTGAACTATACTGAGATATACTCATATCTTCCTGACAAAAATAATGAACAGGGATTTTTAACAACTTCCAGCCCACTGCTAAAGCAGATTTAAAGACATTCTCTTGCTGGTCCACTTCCCTCTGAAATTCATTTCCCACTACCTCCTACTCCTTCTACACCACCCACAGCTGTGGGGAAACAAATTCCTTGCACATCCCAGCCCCTCACTCTAGCAGTGCTCACAACCTGCCCTGTACCAGGCTGGTCTCCCCAACACCAAAGGCCAACTCTGGGCTCAGGTGGCATTTTTTCAAACTGGCCTTGATCCCCTCTCCTAATAAGTGCAATCTGCCCTTCTCTCGATTTGCTTGATTCACTTAAATGACAGAAGCTTGTAGGGGTTCCACGTTATTTCAGTATTTCCTGTGTTGTGATCAGCTTTAGAGACCAGAAACTATCAGGATTCTCTTCCAAGTGAGATAAAGATAAGTCTTGCCACCTTGGGACACATTATGAAATAATTATAAGAACTAGATTGTTTTCATTCCAAGTTCCAGAATTCCAAACAATCTGAGAATCATCACATGAACACATTCTTCTCTGACTGTTCCCCTCCAGGCTCTCATGTCTCCCTCCCTACTCTACACTGCACTGATCCTGACCCGTTTTCATCTTTTACTCAATCTATGGCTAAAACTGTCCCACTTCAAATATAGCTTTCCCAGTTATAAGACAGCACAATATTTAAACTAAATCCCTCCAATTAGCTATATCATATGTCCAAACCTTTAAATCATCTCCTCTTACAATTACCGTGGCTCAGGCTGGGAAGTTGGCCCAGTGGTAGAGCGCTTGCCTTGCATGCCTGAGGCCCTGGGTTCAATTCCTCAGCACCACATAAGCAAAAAAGAAAAAACCTGGAAGTGGCGCTGTGACTCAAGTGGTAGAGCGCTAGCCTTGAGCTAAAGAGCTGAGGGACAGTGCCCAGCCCAGAGTTCAGGCCCCACGACCGGACCCCCCCCCCAAAAAAGAAAACAATTACAGTGGCTCACACCTGTAATTCTAGTTACTCAGAAGGCCAAATCAGAGGATTGCAGTTCAAAGCCAGTCTAGGCAGAAAAATTCCCGAGACTTTTTTTTGGGGGGGGTCAGTTATGGGGCCTGAACTCTGGGCCTGGGCACTGTCCCTCAGCTCTTCCCTAGCTCAAGGCTAGCACTCTACCACTTGAGCCACAGTGCCACTTCCGGCTTTTTTCTTTTTGCTTATGTGGTGCTGAGGAATCGAACCCAGGGCCTCAGGCATGCAAGGCAAGAGCTCTACCACTGAGCCACCTTCCCAGCCCTGCCTGAGACTCTTATCTCCAATTAACTACCAGAAAACTGGAAGTGGTGCTGTGGCTCAATGGTAGAGTGTTTGCCTTGAGCTTTAGAGCACAGGGACAGCACCTAAGCCCAACAACCGACAAAAAAAAAAAAAAAAAAAACAACCAATGATTATTATTGTTATTATTATCATTACAGTGCCTGTAACAAGTCTCAGAGCCCAGGTCAAACTCCACCCACTGACAAAAATAACTTGGAGATAAAATCCAAGTACTTTCCCCAAGCAGTTTTTACCTTATACAGCGGACGGCGTACATCTATGGGACAGTTCTGTATTACTTCATCAACAACATCGGAGATAGATTCCATAAAGTCTGGGTTGGCAAACTAAACCACATAAAAATATTAGAAATCATACATTTCTCTCAAATATTATAAACTAATCTTTTAAAAGTAACTTTATTGAGGGAAGGAGTGATACTGTCCAAAAAGGAATGTAATCTTGATCTGACTGATGTAATTGTAACCTCTCTGAACAATACTTGTATAATAACAATAAATTTTTTAAGAGAATAAATAAAAGTAACTTTAGAGTGGAGGAAGGGTGAGAAAATGCAGTCATTATATTCAATGTACATTATGTAAATACTGAACAACATAACTTGAAGATAGGGATAGGAGAAAAGAAAAATGATGGAAGGAATGACATTAAACAAGATATACTATACTCATAACCTGACTTATGGAATTGAAACCTCTTTAAACAACTATTTAATTTTTAAAGTAATTTTAGCAAATGCACAATTCACCCTAACTGAAAGCACAGTACACTGGAGTGAGGGTATGTCAATGTGACTGACCATGTGTCTCTTAAGAGGTTCAATATGTAGGTTTGTGAGGAAAGATATCTAAAAGGACAGGAACAGGTCAGCCCTATATCATGAATGCCCAGCAATTCATGACAATCAGAGAAATGAAAAAGCATATATGTATAAACTTTTTTTTTTTTTTTGTCGGTCGTGGGGCTTGAACTCTGGGCCTGGGCGCTGTCCCTCAGCTCTTCAGCTCAAAGCGAGAGCTCTACCACTTGAGTTACAGCGCCACTTCCGGTTTTCTGGTGGTTTATTGAAGACAGGAGTCTCACAGTCTCTCCTGCCCGGGCTGGCTTTGAACCGCGATCCTCAGATCTCAGCTTCCTGAGTAGCTAGGATTACAGGCGTGAGCCACCAGTGCCCGGCTATATGTATAAACTTTAAAACATGCAGTGACAAACCTACAATTGAGAATACTAAAACCACACACACAGAGAAAAATAAAAAATACTAGCCCAGAAAAAAAATGTTCAATGAGAAATTAATTAGACATGCTTTAATTGATGATAAAATAATCCATGTTACAACCATGTTGGGTAAACATCCTTACCTTAGATTCAATTCCATAACTTAAATACACAAAGTACAAACAACTCTACTACATTTGAAATAGATTTTAAAAGACAAGGAAAGTTTGAATGTGCTGTAGTTTCAGAGGAAGGAAGCATCCATGTACCACATGCTAGATATTGAATAGTTTTGTGTTTATTTCACATCAAGGCTCTTGGGAAAAGCCAGTGTGTTCACTAGTTAATTATTATTCATCAGATGATCAAAATTATTCATTAGATTTCTGGTAAGATTACTTCTTATGCCAAATGGTCATATGTGTATAAGACCAGACAGCAGTTTTTTACCTATCTACTAAATATAAGCTGAGTTAGGAAGGCAATTATACCAAAATACAAATAAAATGCATTATATATAAACCTGAAGCAATGCATCTTAATGACTGCTTTCTGCAAATGTGCTAACAATCCCTGTGGCAATATATATAATTTACATACTGTTCACATAACAAAACTGGTGGCCTCCACTGAGCAGTGCTACCTAACTTGCAGCACGGAGCACAGTAGGATCGAGGGCCCTGCGTTAAAATTGGGATTAGGATGGACAATCACTAGTGGTTCATGCATGTAAAATTAGCTATTCAAAAGCCAGCCTGGGTAGAAAATTCCAAGAGATTCTATCTCCAGTTAAAAGAAAGAGAGGAGAAGGGAGGGGAGGGGAGGGGAGGGAGCAAGCAAGCTGGCTCAAGTGGTAGAGCATTAGCCATGAGTGAAAAGGCTAAGCAAGAACAAGAGGCCCTGAGTTCAAGGCCTGGTACTAGCACCCCCCCCCAAAAAAGGACAATACATCTAAGATTAGAACAAAACATGGTAATGCACACCAGAGATGAACATATGAAGTTCAAAACCAGCCCAGGCAAAGTCAGTAAAAACAAAAGGCTCAAGGCTGGGAATGTGGCTTAGTGGTAGAGTGCTTGTCTAGCATTCATGAATCCCTGGGTTCAAGTCCTCAGTACCACATAAGCAGAAAAAGCCAGAAGTAGTGCTGTGTCACAAGTGGCAGAGTGCTAGCTTTGAGCAAAAGAAGCTCAGGGACAGTGCCCAGGCCCTGAGTTCAAGCACCAGGACTGGCAAAAAGAAAGAAAAAAAAAAGGCTTAAGAGATGGAAATAAGAGGATCATGACTTCAAAACCAGTCCAAACAAAGAATCAGCAAAAACAAAAGGGTTCTTGCCTACTATGAGTTCAATCCTCAGAATCACAAAACTATGAGAAAAATGTTGTATTTCATCACATTGTTACTTAGAGGCAACCTGTATACAATCCCTAGTTGTTATATTAATACATGCCACCCCTGAAGATCAATTTCATTCCATTGTCATCTGTTGCTCTTAAAACATAAAACTCCAAACCTCTCCAGGACTATCCTTCCTTAATTTAATTATTAAAGTAAGTCCCTGGTGAGGCAAACAAACAACTGAGCAGATCTAGAATATACCTAGGAGACCTCCACCCCTGCTCACTGGTCATCACTGAGAACTGCAGCTAATGCACACTGGGGGCAGTACCTTACCTCCGGGTGAAAGAATATTTCGGGTCCCAGGAACCTTTCATAGCCAACATCAATAATAAACTTCTTCTGGTTGATTGCATTGATGCCTGTGTACTGCTTGATCCACTTCCGGGGGTCCACATCATACTTAGCAAACTCCTTGACTATGTCAGGGCAAATGTAACAGTACTTCTCCTGCATGTACACAGAGAGACAACACCAGGCATGAACAACTAATCTCTGATGTCTCTGCCCTCTGACAAACACACAGGACCCCCTGCATTAAACACCTGTGAACTGGGTCTGCCCACACTCATTCCAGTGTGCGTGTGCTACCAAGCCATCAACTGGTACTCCATCAGCTTTCACCTTAGCCATGGCTGCACTTAGTCTTGGGGCTGTCTGGTCCCCCTGCAATTTAGCTTCCAATCTCAGCCTTAAGTCTCTCAAACTAAGTGTCAGCCCCTTGCCCACCTCACCTTTGCATGTCCTCTCAGGCTTCCTAGCGGGGGCCTGCACCTCACTGCTCTCCACCTAAATCTACTAAGCATACTGTCTATATTCAGACTGGCACCGAAGGGAGTCAGCTCTGTTCACCTGCTGGTTCTTCACCTGAGTGGAGTCCTCGGGCCCCTGGGGAATCAGCATGTTTGAAGGCAAAATCACTCAGTTGTGCCCAAAATGTCAGGTCAATGTCCTCCAGCATGTTAGTTATTTAACTGGTGACATGAGGTGCGCCCATAAAAGTGTTCATCTCGAGGCTCTGGATTCCAGGTGCACCCACACCCTCAGGCCTGTCCTGACTACAGGAGGTCTCGGCAGGGACGGGAAGCACAAGTACGATGAGCACGTCAGGACTGACCACACACAGAGTTTTGAGTCTTCATTCCCAACCTTCACAGGTGTGCATTAAGGTCAAAACCCAAGCATGGCAGGACACCTATAATCCTAGCTACTCAGGAGACTGAGATCAGAGGATCAAGGTTCAAAATCAGCCAGCCAAGGGAGAAAATCCTGTAAGATTCTCATCACCAATTAACATCAAAAGGCCAGAAGTGGCACTGTAGCTGAGTTGCTAGTGCCAAACTTCAACACACACATATATACACACCAAAATAAAAAATAAAAAAAAAAAACTGTGCTTCTCAGATTGCACAGAATTGGAGAATGGCTAGCCAATGAGCAAACTAAGTGTGTGGAATGAGGCTCAGGAAAGACATTTCATCAGCAGTCCACTCAGGGAGCCTGACACAGAAAGGGATACTCAAGACTCCTGGAGTGACCCTGCGTATCAGCAGCAAGAGTACAATTTTGATTTGCTGCTGCTGTGACTTGATTTTGAGAGAGCAAGGAAGCTTGCATCAAATATCCAGTTTTCTCCCACTGACAAAAAAAAACAAGGAAAAGAAAATGGGGCAAACACTGGAAATATTTTACTCTGACCACATCTCTAAAAACCTCTCCCCCAGGGAAGGGACGTCACCATTGAGCAGTAGGAGCTGGATCCCTAGAAACTCCAGGCCTAGGACAAGTAGAAGCACACTTGCAGGAGTCTGCCTAACACTTGGCCCTGTCCTCAAAATACCGGTCTACAAGAGTGTCAAGTGAAACTTGGGAAATACTCTGGTGCTTCCTTTCCTTCAAGTGCCTGTCTTCCAAATCTCTCAAGTGTAGGAGAAAGGCATCTATCACACCTCCACTCTCAAACTCTTCTCCAAAATGTTTCCTTCTTCATCTAGGAAAAATTAACTTGGAATTATTAGAGACCTCTTTCATTTTGATTTTTAAACCTATCTTGATTTTGCAACCTAAGCAGAATTCCTTTAAAAGAGTCTAGGTCTGTGAGTGTCCTGTACAAAGTAATATAAAGACTACTAGATTGGGTCACATAGACACTATTAAATAAAAAGTCCAACAAGCCTCTTGCCTTCTAATCTTATAAATTCCAAACATCCATTCTTTTTCTGGTCCAGTAACTAAAATCTAGAAATACGGCGAGTCCTGTCTGCTGATTCCGCTCCTGCAATGGTGTGGTTCAGAAGTATACTCTTGGTACGCTGACAAGGGCAGACTCCCCAGGGCTCCTGACAGTCAGTGCTGCTGCTGTGACTTGTCCCTATTCTAGACGGAGGCACAGGAAGGCTGGAAGCCACGCACAGCTAATCTGTCTAATTAGGCACCAGTGAAACGATGCTGGAATACGCATGCTACTGGTTCAATCTCAAGCTGTGGAGAAGAGGCAGCTGAGCCTTAAGTTCCAGCCTACTTCATTCACTGGCAAACAAACCAAGGCCCACACTCACAAGGGGGAGAGGAGGGAAGGTAGGAGCAGGGAGGATAGCATCTGGGGAAGTATTCAAGCACCATTTCTCTCTCACCCCCAAACCACTCAGGTTTCCATCTGTTTTTTACCTTAATGGCTTTTGCGGTCTCCAGTGACTGCTCAGGAGGGATTCCCACCTCCCTCTCCCTTAGCAGCTGTTGAATGAAATACGTAATATCTCTACCTGCAATCGGGATGTGTTTGATGCAGCTTCCAATTACATAACCTTCTGCCTGAAGAAGAGGAGGAAGAACAGCCCATATAAATAACCTGCAGTCAAGAACCTGGCCCAGGAGACTTTCAGCCACACCTTCCTGCCTCCCCACATGTAAACTAGCCAACATTTACCGGCTCCCACTGAAGACCAGCTCCACGCCAGAGGCCTTTTTAAATTACAGCAAATGTGGCTCCATTAATATTTCAAAGTGTAAATTACTCCAATAACATGAGATCATAAGCAACCAAAATGTTTCATTAGGAATGTAGTTCTCAAGAAAAATGGAGAGGCTATTTCACTACCACAAGGTAAACACTATCTGTGAGAACAGTAAATGCAACAGTATGATTCTCTCTAACAAAAAGAAAAAGATCATACTACAGCTTGTTAAACCTATTATAAATCGGCCTATAGTAAAAGTCTGTAAAATAGTGATGTACACAAGACTGTAATTCTAACAGCCTGGATTGAAGTCCAGGTCCCAGATTGGTTAGCTATGTAACTCTAGCCAAGGTGAGTGTGTTTTAGCCACAGCCTTTTATCCAGTGAGGCATTTACAACAGTGCAAATACAATCCTCTATGTCAAGCACACAGCACTGCTTTATGGCATGCACAGTATGCAGTAAATGGTTCAAAGTCAATCTGGGCAGAACATTCCCTGTGAGGTTCATAAGAGTAGAGGTGTGGCTTAAGCGGGAGAGTGCCAGCCTTGGCTGAAAAAGCTAAGGGACAGCATCTAGGCCCTGAGTTCAAGCCCCACAACCAACAACAACAACAAAAAAAACTCTGTGAAAACATTAAACACACACACACACACACACACACACACCACTTTTTCTGTGGGCCTAGAGAGCATATAAAATGTATTTTCCCTGTGTCCAAACACACACACACACACACACACACACACACACACACACACACACACA